TTAATCTTCTTAGTGTTATTGTAATGTTCCTAAGTGGCCTTTGTCTGGTGTGTCCCATCCAGCACTTCATGAGTCCCATCAGTGTATGTGTTCCATGTTTCTCGTGCCTTTGGTCTAAGTACAGCAGTCATTTGATTACTGACAGTCCTTCATCCTTCCTCCTCTCAGAAGACTCCTCTTCAATAGTATTGACATGCTCTGAGGAGTGACTGAGTGAGGGGATGGAAAAGCTTTGCGAATAAACAAAAAGTGAACTTGGAGAGTCTGAAGATAATAGGAGTGGTTAAGGGGTTGATCCACTATCTAAATATTTTTTAGTGATCTAGGAATTACTTGTTCAATACGTAGCACTTATAAAGCATACATTATAAATAATGATATCATTCTTGAGAGAAATTATGGACTCAGGTATGCCTCACTTAATGTCCACTATTCACTCTGTGAAACATGTGGTTTATGTCATTTGAGTGTTTGCAAGCACCTGTGTGTATGTGATGGTTGTGGGTCAAGCTGAATTGGCCCTTCTGTGAGGCGTGGTCAGCTCCCACTGGAGACACCTTACAAAAGGACTTGGTGTGGTCCAGCCTATTTCACTAGGTCTTCGCTGCTCAGCCAGCTACAGAGCAGGCCACTTTCTGTGAAGAAATTACCTTGGAGGGCATTGTGTCGGCCAAGCAGCCCTAGAAGACCCCAGGCAGGATTGGGTTTGGAGGAACACACGTTTCCATTGGTGTTCTACAGAATTCCTGAGAACAAAAAGTAGGAATTAGTGGGAGCTGAGGGGAATGAGGGCTTGGAATTTGGGTCAGAATCTCCATTGCCACCGAGTAGGTAGCTTCCTGGCCACATAAAGTGGCTGGGCAGAGGTGGTGCTCCGACCTCAAGACCACAGTGTGGCCTCCCATCACTGAAGACCATACATGCCACAGCCCAGTCGGTGTGTTTGGATGTTGCCTGGACTTTAAGGGTTTCATAAGTATATTATTTATTAGTCCTGGGTGTTTAGAACTCCTTGATGGCAGTATTTTTTGTGTGTTTTTTCCCAGGAGGTTATTTGTTTGGTACTGTATTGCTCTATCTGCAATCTGAGATAATTCATGTACTTGCAGAAGGTCACATTTTATACTCAGTGAGGAAGGTAATATGACACACAGATTTGTTCCAATAATAGCTCACACATGCAACCCCTGGCTGCCAGTGGATTGACATGAGCTCTCTAAATCTCTCCGGTGGCTTAAATATGTGAATCATATCCATACTGAAATGAAGGGATTCAAACAGCTGTGGCTGTCACCTGTCTTACAGAGCAGCACGTGGAAGAAGATAAATGTCTTAGGAGATAAAATACTGAGGGAAAATTAAAATCTCCATACTGTCCCTGTACTTCCATCTCAGCGGGACTGATCCAAAGTGTCCCCTACTCACCGTGCTTGAGAGCACCCCACGCTGTGCTGTGCAGCCTGAAAGAGTGAGTGCACCACGGGTCCTTAGGGAAAAAAGATCTGTCCCTGGCAGAGCTCCGCCCACGGCCATCAAGTGCACGGTGACTCCTGGCCACTCAGTAGGAGAGGGCGCTGTGTCAACCTGGTGGGCAGTAGGCCACATAGGGCACCTGAGGTAAGTTTTTGTGGCAACGATGCTCTGAAATAAAATGAAAATTGAAAAAACTTATGAAGAAAATCGCGCTTACCCTAAGCCTAAGCTTTTCTTCATGCAATTTTTTCTATTTTCATTTTATTTCACACTACCACGAGCCACCAAAATTTACCCCAGGGCTTCATGTGGCCTGCAGGCCACCAGTGTGACACCCCTGGGATAGAGTAGCACTGTGCCTTGGGGTGTCTGAGAATAACACTTTGCAAAGCCAGCAGCCTCCAGCTTTCTCTTTTGGAAACGCGGGTGGGGTTGCAGCTCTCCACCCAGTTGTGAGCTGCCCGTTGCTGAGCCCACAGCACACACAGGGCCCCCTTGTTCGAGGTCCAAACCCAGACCAGAAGATTGTAGTAGGAAAATAGAAAAGACTTAAGGAGGTAGATATTTTACTGACCTCTTTTTTGTTGTTTTTAAAAACCTATGCAAAACCTCACTGCCACAGACAGGACCGTATTGGACAGGGTAGAGCTATTCCTGTGGCTTTCCCAGACCCTAACTCTTCATGGGAGTAGAAGGCTCTGTCTTTCTCCCACCGAGAGGCTGCTGGTTTCCAACTCTTGACCTTTAGGATAACAGCTGAACTCCTAACCAGTATGCAACCAGAGCTACAAGAAGTCTGGAATCTGCTGAAATAGAATCAGTTCCAGTAGTGCAAGTTGAAGGGAAAGGTCAGTAGGAAAGGCCAGGTCTTTGCAGATGAGATTGCTCAAAGATCTCATTTGACTCTGGATACAGATAATAAATGAAGCTTTGCTTTCATTTAAGGTGACTAGTATTTAAATTATATAAATGGGAGAGAGTAATAGAAACTCTGCTTTTGTCAGAAATGTGCGTGCTATTTGCGAGCTCCCTTTGTAGTTCCCCACTGCTCTGAGGTCACTGCCTCCTTTAAAGAATTCCCCCTCCCAGCCCCCAATTGCTTCCTCTTCTGCCCACAAGTAAAGGTCCGTTATAAATGTTGTTCTAAACAGCTGAGGAACTCCACACCTGGCATCCGCTCCAGGGGCTGTAAGCTGCACAGCCTCCTGACTGGGTGGGGCCATGTTGGGCTGCTGTCTCCTGGGCAGTCATACACAGGGCCACTGCCAAGATCCTCAGATTGCACTCTCTGCCCCTAAAATAGACAAGGTTGAAGTCTCTCAGTGCCTGAGCCTAGTAATGGAGATGAAGACGCTGGTGAGCAGATTTGAGGAGTGGGTGGGGGTGGAGGGGCAACAATCTCCTGCTGTGATCCTCTAGTGGAGGGAGAGACCTGCTAGATTCTCTGAGTGTGGCTTTCAATTTTTATTCAGTGTTTATTCATGTAGGACTTATTCTTTTAAAACAGAGAGGCTAGTACAATTATCTGTCTGTATGTCTCAGAGTGGTAAAATGATTTTCCCTCTCTCACAAACCTAGTATATATAATATATATAAATATAAGCTTTGTGCAGTAGCAATATTGTAACCAGTGAGGTTTATCTGAGGCATGATTATTGCTAATTGAAAACTTTTTCCCAATTTTATATATATATATACATGTACATATATATATGGCAAATATATTTTGAGGCATTGACCTCAGCTACCATCAACAGGCAGCCTCCCTGTGTACAGACCAATGTACTTGTTTTCAGGCAGTAAAACCTTCAGTTACTCTCCATAGACTAGAGGGAAAACCTGTACAAAATAAAAGTACTCCTATCTGCATATATCATAGCAAGGCTCTCCTCCTCATTTCCTTTGCTTCAATCAGCGTGCTTTTGTTTATGAGATGTTGCTTCCTGATATGTCACACAACGAGATAATCTCCTAGCATGCTTTTACATCCTCACTTTCCTTAAAATACAGATTTTATTACAAGACTAAGATCCAACGCATTCTTGTTTCCTCTTTACAGGTTTTGCTGGAGCCTAGATTTCCATCATGGTAAATAGATGATGGATGGACGGACGGACGGATGGATGCATGGATGGATGGATGCATGGATGGATGGATGGCTAGATAGGGAAGTAATTAAGGAGAACTAGGATGCTATTATCTCCCTCAATATTTGTCTTATCTGAAAGAGTGTGGATATTCACAGCAGAGTCTGAGGGAACATTTATATCACATTTATGACTTTCTGAAAAATGGACCTTAACCCATTAGGAGCCTTTGCTAGGTCCCCAGTGACTCTTTAAAGCTCTAACATGTGGGCAGGGCTTCCATGCAAACAAAGAGTTAGTGGCTAGGTTTTCCCTTCAGTAAAATATCCTGTCCCTCAAACCACAGTAGTGCTATTAAATGGCTCAGAGGAGGGAGGCTGCTAGGCATCTTTTCCTAAAACTTCTTTATTTGAGAAAAACTCTCCCTCTGAGGTGATAATAGGATCAGTTCCTTTTCCTTTTGGGAACCGATTTTACTCTCTCTCTCTCTCTCTCTCATTATCAAAGATAAGAGCTCTCAAGCAGGTCTTCACGTCTTGAGCCATGAGGTGAAAAGGTGATTGGTCCTTAAGGGGGAAGGAGAAGAAAGTCTTCCAGCAACTAGAGCAGCGTGGAGATGACTATGTGGTAGATATCCCAACATCCATGGCGACAGGGGCTTTCCTTCCACTGGGACAGGCGCTTGGGAGACATTTGAGAGGGAAATATCATATCTCACAGGAATTTATGATTGAGCGTAGCTCTGAAAGACTCTGGATCATGATCACTTCTAACCTGTACAGCAGGACACACACTCCTCAGACAGTAATCATGTCAATAGGAATGGTGGAAATACAAGGGGAATTCTATCACACGGATTGCATGAGGGTATGCTTTGACCTGACGGAGAATGAGCACAGATCTTTTAGGAATCCAGCAGAAAGAAGGTGTTCTAGAGAAGCTTCTAGGAAGAAGATATCTAGAAGTTGTTACTTTGTATTTATGAAATGCTACAGACTAGTAGCCAGATTAGGGGATATAGGTGGGCAAAGTACATTAATTATCAATGGCCTACATTGATCGCTTCTCTGCATTTAAAATACATTGAGCAGATGACTTTAAAAGAAGAGCACAATCATATACGTCCATTTGTTTCCATTTTAATGTGAATCATACTGCATTTGGAAGTGTTTAATGCTTTTACAGAAAAGTCAACTTTAATTTTTAGACTTCAGTTATTGCAGGAGAGGTTTATTATGAGTAAAACACCAAAAAAACATGTTTTGGAAACTTAGCATCAATTCTTAGACAGTAATCTTTTCAGTTCACCATACTAAATATGCATAACCTAGTTTGATGATGATTATCTGCATAGGTATGCATAAGCCCAAAGGATTGGGATAGAGGTAGTAAGATCCCAAAGATGAACTAATTCACTTTATTGGTTTTTGTTTTTACAAGCTGGGAGGTAAATTCTCAGAGCGTGTGAATCATGGTGTGAGAGCTAAGAACAAGAGAGAGACCCAAGAATCCAACCAGAATTAGAAGTTGAGCACAGAAGATAGCAAATGTTCAGCTATTATTTACCCACCCAGGACCTAAGTTAATAATTCAATGTGGGAAATGCAACTTCTTCATCGGGAGAAGAAATACTCCAAGTGTTAGTGAAGATGCTCTCATCAAATTTCATGGAATTCTCACTGCACTTTGTTCTTCAGCCCCTCCTGCTCTGCATGTGCATACAAGGATCTGGTAAGTTCATTTATTTATTTTCCTCTCAGGTGCATTCACCTAAATTTGGGAACATGGGGCAAATAGACTAATGGCTATTATCTGCATTGTGTTCAGACTTTGATACAGAGATTGTAACAAGGGCATGAGTCAAATGAATAACTGTGAGGGGGTTCAGGGACCAGCAGGGCTGCCTTCTGTTGGGTAGAACATCCCTGTGAGCAGAAATTGACTATACACCTAACAACTACAAGTTTTCAATGGCATCTGTAACTTTGTTCTTTGATCTCTCACTTGGCATATAGTTAACATTTCTCAAGCTCACACAATACTTCATAAAACAAATCAGACAGAGAAGGATCCTTTGGATCAGAAGGGTCATACACGCTCAATGACCTGCTCACAGGCTTTTATTACTTACAGAAATCATGAGGGTGAGATAAATGGAGTAGGACTTATCAAGAACCAAGTTCACACAAAAGTCTCCCTATGAGCGGAAAAAAGTTTCAACCACTCCTGTGCAAGCCCCTGAAAACATTGGGTGCATGGTAAAGAAGGGGACTCGGTGCTGAAGTCTGGATATCATAAACCGAGGGGTGGATTTGCGGGATTCCAAGGGAAAAGCAGAACACCCCTTGTCTGACGACCCTGTTAGGAGGGGGCATCGTTTGCTCAGCTCCACTCTGCAAATTCAGAAAAAGTATTTCTTCCCCTCTAGCTACAAGATTAATTTTATAGGCCTACACTTTCTGATTAATGATAAAATACCAAGAGATCCCTTCCCAAAGGGCACATTCTTTGATGTTACGATAATTACGATCTAATGGGGTTGACCTTGTGCATGGAGGGCATGAGCCAGAGATGGAGAAAGTCGCTGTGAGCTCAGAAGGGCAGGGTGACTTTGGGGATGAGAAATGACTGCGAGGGAGAGAGACCCAATTGCCAACCTCCTTATCAAAAACATTCTGATAGCAAATGAGAGAAATCAAATCAAATGACTTAAATGGGAATTTTAGAGACAGACCATTCTCCCAACACACTGAAATGACAAATAATCCTAGATATGGCTGTGGACCCTCTAAAAACTCCCTCATCTGACAAATTCAATTCACTCTGGTTGCCCTCGGTTTTATTATTTTATTATGCCTTTAAAATATGATTATGTTATCATGCCTTTTTTTGCGCTTATCAGTGCAACTGTTTATCTCCTAAAAATTATTCTATCTAAATATAGCATTTTTAAATGTTTTAATTTTTTTCAATGATGGTTTTAAAAAAGAACTTGTTATTGTGACTTAGGTGAGGATTTATCTTACAGTGTTCACTTATGCTTTGTATATTGTGACAATTTGAATGTGCATGTAAAAAAAAATATATATATATATATATTATTCGTGCACCCACACACAAGCATGCATTGACTTATTTTAAATTTCACTTTAAATTCTTATTAGGGAATAACCTACTTAGATGCCATTCTTCATTGCATATAGTTTCACCCAAGTATGAAATGGAAGTCTTGTGAAATATGTAAGTCACTGAGTCCACATTGAAACAATGGCCAGTCTTGATGCACTATCATAGATAATATGATGGCATCTATGGTCTTGAAGAAGAAACTTAGATAATTCTTGGCTACTGTGGTAGTTACATAATCTGTTGTCTATTTGAGACTTAAGAGTGAAGGGGTGGAGTTTAGCCTGTCAATCAGATCACAGCTTGGTGAGCGCATTTGGAGACATGAAAGAGACAGATACTTCATTGGAGGCAGGACACATGCTCACTCCCTGGGGGACATTGCAACTGACAAGACACATGGAGCTGCACTACTACCCTGAGTTGAAGGTGCCATGTGGAGACCCTGCCAGCACTAAGATTCTTACACTGCCACTGGATCTACAAGACTTTTCACCAACTAGCCTCTGATCTTCCTGAATCTGGCTTCATTTCATGTGTTGAGTGAGTCTGAAGAGGAATTTATAGATGGGTTTCAGACATATGGGCTAATCACAGACTTATTAACTGATGATCTGGACTGGGCTGGGATGTTTTCTCAATATTCAATTGCTCTCATATATAAATCTCTTTCTTATACACATATGAGTATCTATGAATATGTTTCACTAGTGCACCCAGACAGACACAGCTATTATGTGTAAACTATTATATCTTATATTTATCATTTTATTATGTCTATAATCAGCAACTCCTTCATTTGCATTTTTAATCATATTCTAAATTATTATCTACTAAAATAATGTTTTATGAACAATAATTTTCCTGACTGGTTGATTTGTATTCCAATTAACTCATTCAATAAATATTTCTTGATTAACTTGTATGCTAGAAGTAATTTTAGAGACAAAGTATTCATTGCCAATAAATATTAAGGAGTTTGCTTTATATTGGGGAATAAAAGAAATAAATTATATTTATTACACACCCAGAGAGAGAAATGATATGACATAGGTAAGTGCAGGTGAGTGTGAGAATTCATTTCTCTTTCTCACTACAACTTGTTTCTTTTCCAGATTCATTTTATAAGATAAAGAACAACGATCATGAAACTGCTGTACTGGGGGAAAACGTGACACTATTCTGCAATTTGACAACTCCTGAAGATGTTCTGCAAATTACTTGGCAAAAGATCCAAGATTCTTTGCCACAAAACATTGGCACTTACAGCAGGAAAAACGGGGCAAAGATCCTCCCACCATACCTGGATCGGCTGCACTGTGATGTCATTGAGCCCAAGGCCTCCTTCATCACTATCCGTGAAGTGACATTTGATGATGAAGCCTGCTACAGATGTCTGTTTAATATGTTTCCACATGGCAGCCACGGAGCACAAATCTGCCTTCATATCATAAGTATGTGCGTTTTCTGGAGGGGAAGATGGCTGGGAGGAAAACGGTGGAGATGTGGTCTTTTAATTACGGAGTCCAAAGAAAGAACGTTAGAGGGTAAAAGACTTATAGAAGTCTGATAGAGCAAATCCTCCATCATACGGAATAAAAATGCTTTGTGATTTGTCTCGTGTGACACAGCGTGGACCTGGGCAAAGGACTGGGCTAGGTCACTTGTCCACTTTTCTAACTTCTTTACACTGTACAACATACACTTCAATCCCATGGGTAAGATTCATAGAGATTCAAGGATGTTTTACTACAGATATGGAGAAGGGGGCGGGGGCCAGAAGTTATACGTATGTTGAGATACCAATCGTTCCTGTCAAATGGAAGGTTCTATTGATTGGAGAGGAATTGTGAGTTTTGAGAAAACATGAGAAGAGGTCTTTGAGAGGGATGTGTGTCAGCACTGTGGCTTCATATAGAAATTTCCAGAAACCCATCATTAACACAATGAGAATCTATCATGACGTTTTTTTACATTTAACCTCATATGTCCATTCTTTGTCCCCTCAGCTGTGTCTGAATTAAAAATTGATCTCCAGTCTGATCCCGACTCTGAAGGTGTTCTCAGGGCTACCTGCTCAGCTGTGGGAAAGCCTGCCCCACAAATATCCCTTTTCCCCTCACAAGTCCTGGTGAACCCACCTGAGGAACACCGCGCTCTGAATCCAGATGGCACCGTGACTGTCACTAAAACGAGCAACATCTCTTTGGAGGCTGCTGCGTCTCTAGGAGTCCACCACCTGATTGTACACATGGATCATCCTTTACGGCCTGAAGATAAGATTGTTCCTCTGCCAGCGAAAGATGAACGTAAGTAGAAGTGATCATGTAACAGGGAACAACATGCATCTTTCTTCAAATGCTTTAGCAGAAATGGTAATATGGGACATGCTTTTAAAACACTAACCAACGTAATTCGTACACATGGTTAAGTGATCCAAGGAAGAAATTTCTGAAACCAGGCTTATTCCCTAGAATATAGTTTTATTTAAATGGAAAATTCTGCTTTATATGCTTTGTGCTATATTTCAACCACAACCACATCAGTGACCATGAAGGTCGTTTACAGCACGATGCCCCCCCCTCCCTCCATTCCTCACTGTACAGTAGGTCCCAAGGACAGACATGAGAAGTCATCTCTCAGTTTTACACTGGCTCCTCTGAAAGGGATGTTTCTTCCACTTTGAAAGTAATGTCCCAGGTGCCTGCGGATGATCGCTTTGCCTTTGTTCTTCTCAGATTTCATTATGCTGGGCCTACGTGTTGTATATTTGTACTAATTGAGCTTCTTCAACCTATGCCTAATCACTGTCTTTCATTGTTTTTAGGGAATTTTGGGGTAATAGCCTGTGTTTGCCTGGATTGTCTGGAGAAATAAAACCAGGGACACTCATATATGTATCAGAAAGAGCTTTATCTAAAGAAGTAATTTCATATCAAGAAGGCATCGCAGTCTAGTTCAACTTACGTCCGTGGGTTCAGTGCTGGCTGGAGCCCTCTGTAGACGAGTGGCACTGCAGGCTGATGATGCAGGAAGGTGAAGAGAGGCGCAGGAACAGCACATGCCCATGGGTGCAAAGTTATATGGATCTAAGGTTTGTGGAAACAGGCAGGGTGCTAGCAGCTCTCAGCCCCATGTGGGGATACTCCTGGAGGCAGGCAGAAAGAGGATGGATCAGAGAGAGAAGGCAGTTCCCAGTTTCTCCCTGATGAGAAAGCCACACCCCAAAGGAGGCATCAGCAGGTTGGATTATACCCATAGACTTTATAGATTTTCAAGTTCTCATAAAATTTAACTGTCACCCACTCTTTAAACACTGATAGCTGGATAACCATCTGCTGTCCTAAGTTCTGTGTTTGGGTGTGGAAATGCATGCTTGGACTGACACACTGAGTGACTATCTCCCCCAGAGTTCTTGTCCTCAGAACCCTGGGGCTCTGCAGCCTCTGCACTGGCCTCTCTGCAGGTGCATTGTGCTTTGTGCATCTATGAGGCACAGCTTCGTCCAGCTCTTATCCCACCTGACACTCTCTATCTTATTTTCAACTTCAGTACATTTGCTTAGAAATCTCTTACCCGCCCCCCAAAGTTATTCTTCTTTGGTTTGTTGCTATGCATCCATTCTTTTATTTGTTTAGAGCATTTCAATGAAGTATAATTTAATGTTTAGTATACTTTTTAATTGTCTTTAGTATAATTTTAATGAATAGAAAGAAATATATTTACTCTCCCTCTCTCTTAAAACTGAAGTCCCTGAAAACTTAAATCATTCAGTGTTTTTTCCCTGATCAATTCCACTGAATCATGAAATTGAACTTTGCAAGAGATATGCTGAATCCCTGAGCCTTGTACCTGTTCCTGAACCCTGTTTGAAAAGAGGGTTTTCCCTGTATGACGTCAATGAGCCTAGAAAGGAGCAGAATGGATCGTAGGCCAAGTCACTTCAGGGTTACAAAGATATCAGAATAGACACACACACACACACACACACACACACACACACGGTAAAGCAGATATGAGCCAAAGATGCAAAGATTTCCCGGGCTTGCAATGAAGGGGCTGACTTCACCACAGCCTTGATTTTGAATTTTAACCTGGATAACTTTGAGAAAGTAAAATTCTGATTTTCAAATCCACTCACTTGTGATCTTTGTGATGCAGTAGCCCTAGAAAACTAAGACATTCGAGTAGCACCTGCTTACTGGATAAAACTCAATCAGTGTTTTTAGTTCAATTAATCCCTCAATTGACATTGAGATATAAATGTTAATAAAGGAATAATTTGTCCATTGAGAAAATGATTCTCCTTTCCATGGTTTTCTGAAAAATATTAGGGGTATAAATGCCAGGTCTTTAGAGGTATTTTTCTGAGTGTTATATTGTTGCTGCCTACAGAGATATGTTGACGGTTTTGTAATCTATCTTGTGTGTTGCTACAAAAGGCTCAGTGAGACAATAAAACCGGTCCTAAATAATGTCTGGGCATGCACACAAATGGCACAAAGTTCTTCAAAGAATATGTACTCATTTTCCTAATAGTTCTGGGAATGAGAATCACCAAACAAGGGTGTTTCTTCACCTTAAATGGCCATGGAGAATTCTAGGTAACACATTTTCAAAGTCCAAGAAATTACTAAGAGCAGATGGATGACAGCTGTCTAAAAAACTTGACGTAACAAATATCAACAAAATAAATGTACATCTTGCTGGGAACAACAGACCTAAGAATGAAAAATACGTATTGGCTGTGCTATTTAATGGAAATGCAAATGTATAAACGTCTGCCCATAAAGGATACAGATTTCATTTCTCTTTTCCGTATTGTGTATTCTGTATGAAATCCTACGCAACAAAACATCTGCCAACACAACTTCCACGTTGACAACTCAGTGACCTTGATTCTATATCCCATGTGCCACCATTATTCCTAAATCCTTTCTAACATCCAACCAAATCGAGTGACCTTCCCCCCCCCAAACTTGCCATTATTGCATGTACCTACCCTTGCAACTTTGAATAATCTTTCCTTGTTATGTATTTTTTAACTTACTTGAAATCATATGGAGACTGTCCTTTTAACTTTGATCACTGGCTCCTATGGTCATTCTGTGTCCTTAGGGGACCCATCAAACTCCTTTCCCCAGGGCCTGCACCATTGCGTATTCCCTCCAGCGATGGAGGAGGGTGCACTTGTCTGTAACCTGGACTTAATTTGCTGTTTTGCTTCTTTTTCTTTAAAGTGTTTATGATCACGAGTATTCTAATAGTTCTCATAGGGTGATGTGATAACTCACTTTGGCCTGATTTCCAGAATTTTAATGGTTAATAATGTTGAGCTTCTTCTCCTGTGCTTATTTGCCATTTGGAGGTCCTTTCTACTGCAATGCCAGATCAAGTTCATTGCCTATTTTTGATAAGGTTGGCTTCTTGTTATTAGGATGTTAGTTTCATTTTTATATTATATCTCAGAACAATAATTGATAATCAAAATTATTGGATTTTATTGCATTTATGTTATTCTGAAATTTCAAAATCATATCCGGTGAACATCACTAAAATAGAACCTGCATTAGGATTTAATAGTATTCTCAAAATAGCTGCTTTTATATGTACTGATGGTTGGGTTAGTCTGAGTTGATTAGAGAAACAAATTCAGAGACACTCATATATGTATAGGAAAGAGTTTTATATAGAAGAGCAATTGTATATTGAGAAAACTTCCCAGCACAGTACAGATCAACTCCATAAGTCCAATATTAGCCCATATATCTGATACCAATCTATGAATTCCTCTTCAGACTCATGCAACACATGCAATGATGCCAGATGCAGGCAGATCACAGGCCAGTGGGTGGAAAGTCTTACGGATCCAGTGGCAGTGGAAACAGCTCCATGTGTCTTGTCAGCAGGAACGTCTCACAGGTGGTGAGCATGTGTCCCACCTCCAGTAAGCTATTTATTGCCTTAGTGCCTCCAAATGAGGTTATCAAGCTGCAACTTGATTGATAGGCTAAACTCTACCCCTTCATTCTTTTTTTTAAAAATCATTTTATTAGGGGTTCGTACAACTTTCTTATCACAATCCATACATCCATCCATTGTGCCAAGGACATTTGTATATTTGTTGCCATAATAATTTTCAAAACATTTTAGTTCTATTTGAGCCCTTGCTATCAGCTTCTCATTTTTTCCCTCTTCCCACCGCCCCCACCCCCATGAACTCTTGATAATTTATAAATTATCATTATTTTTTCATGTCTTACACTGACCGATGTCTCCCTTCACCCACTTTTCTGTTGTCCATCCCCATGGGAGGGGGTTATATGTAGATCCTTGTGATCCACTCCCCGTTTTTCTCCCCACCTTACCCTTACCCTCCTGGTATGGCTACTCTCATTATTGGTCCCGAGGGGTTTATTTGTCCTGGAATCCCTGTGTTTCCAGCTCTTTTTTTAATATATAATCATTTTTTTTAGGGGCTCATACAACTCTTCACAATCCATACACACATCATTTGTGTCCAGCACATTAGTACATATGTTGATTTCATCATTCTCACAACACTTGCTTTCTACTTGAGCCCTCGGTGTCAGCTCCTCATTTCCCCCCTCCCTCTATGTTCCCCCCTCCCCCTTGATAATTTATAAATTATTATTATTTTATCATATCTTACTCCATCCAACGTCTCCCTCACCCACTTCTCTGCTGTCCGTCCCCCAGGGAGGAGGCCATATGTAGACCTTGTCATCTGTTCCCCCTTTCTCCCTCACCTTCCCTCCACCCTCCTGATATCGTCATTCTCTCCACTGGTCCTGAGGGGTTCATCTGTCCTGGGTTCCCTGTATTTCCAGTTCCTAGCTGTGTCAGTGTACATCCTCTGGCTTAGCTGGATATGTAAGGTAGAATAGTCTCAAATTATGTAACTGCCACAGGCCACCCCTTGTTAATTTGACACTTTTACCACAACGCTTTAGCCATATTGTATTAGTCTAGGTACTTTGGAGAAACAAATCCACAGCAACTCACGTATAAGAGAGAGTTTTATGCAAAGAAAATGTGCATCACGAAAACATCCCAACCCAATGCTGCCCAAACCCACAAGTCCA